CGCACCGGGTTATAAGCTGCACTGCCGGTTTTTGATAAAATTTTAGGATTTTCAGTGCGGCTTATGGTCGTGAAAATACGGTAGCTTGTAGTTTGCAACTGAAGCTGTAGTTACTGCTGTGATTTATGAATAGTCTCACAGACTCCTGTGCCCTTGACTCCTTTCTGTTTGTCCTGTTGCATTCTCAATGCTGCAAATGTTTTGTTTACAGACTCTGGCACACTGCTTGTGCAAGCGATGAGGGAGAAGTGATCGTCTTTGGGGGCTGTGCCAGCAATTTACTTGCCCATCACAAAGCAGTAAGTTTTTTTCCCCAAGTCTTATGTAATTTTTTTTCAGTTCTCAGCTTTGACTGAGTGTAGAGCACAAAGCAGCTGATAAGAATAGCAATATACAAACCTCTCTGGACCATTTTTACTACGGGATGATTCCACCAATCTGTTGCAGTGCATTCAGCCTGGGTTCAAGGCAGCCTGCCCATTTCTTTCCATCTAGCAGTGCAATCATAAGATCAGCAAAGGCAGCACTTCAGCCACTGATTTATTTATCATATGGCATCAGCCACCATAAATGTTCTCCTTAACCTGTTACCAGTGGGGATCAGGTTCAAGTTGGATGACTTCCTGAAGATACTTAATTGACGATCTTTTTTATTAGACTGTGTTGTTTCTGTATGTCATTTATGTGGGTATATGCATAATTTTGTACTTATTTTGCTATTGTGTAGTGTATATTGGAGGTGGTGATCTTTTGAGAGCTGTATGCAATGAAATTTCATTTTAATATATGCTGATTAGTGTACAAAGTGACAATAAAGTATTCTATTCTGTTCTATTCATAAGCCGTAGTTGCATGGCTTCTTCCTCCCATCAATGTTCTTTCATACAAAGATATCTGCCCTAGACTATCTTGCTGAAACTGTATTTGTGTTTTATGAAAGAACAGAGGACGCATTACCCAAGAGGATAAGTATTGCTTGTTAGCTATAGAAATCATGGAAATAATCTTTGCATACACACCAATTGATGTGGGAGGGTTGGCAGCTGGTGGCCACAATGCGAGCCTGAGTGGAAGACTGAACTGCAGTATGTGTGTTTTGAGTTCCAAGGACTATAACCATTGCTCATTAGCATTTTTCACTTACTGAGTCAGAGAGATTTACAATGAATATCCTAATTCTTCATTGATTCACTTCCTTTATTTTGCCTTTTGTGCAGGAAGTCTGAGCATAATTTATTGTCTTCACGCACCTTGTGAGGTAACTTGTTTGAGAAGCTATCTAAAGGCTAGGATTTAAACTCTTCTTTCTAATCCAGGTTCAGCATTCTGTTCTCTTCCTTGTGAATTGTAGATTGAGCTTCTCAGTCATGAAATTTCCATTCTAATTGATTGTTTCTTTGCTTTCAGGCACATAGTAATGAGATACTTGTGTTTTCTCTTCAACCCAAATCCCTGGCAAGGTATTTTTAATACACTTTAAACTGCTCTTTCCTTTGGTAAATATGCAAAATGAGAATTTGAGGCTACAAATCTGGCACTATGAGAACAATAATAAATGCTTTATTTATTTTGGTAGGAAGCTGACAGATCTCGAGGAAATTTCTAGTCTAGGCCAGTTCCCTAAAACGTGTGCCTTCTACAAGTTCATGAAGCAGACCATTGAGTAGATGTTGGGTTTTTCTATTCAGTCTAAGATTATTTGTATCTGTTGCCTTAAGAAACCTTCAGTGTTGAACAAATACAATAAAATTCAATAGAAATGGATAGCTGTTCTTATCACACTTGACCTTGTATTTGTGTGACATTAAGTAGGAATCAGAAAAACAATAATTTGTCTGAAATTTTAAGTTTCTTTTCATTTACTCCTCTCCAGATTGTGTTTAGAGACTGTTATGTGCTTCAAAGAAATCCTGGCCAATTCCTGGCACTGCCTTCCCAAGCACCTGCTCCACAGACTCAACCAGCGCTTTGGTAGTAACAACACATCTGGATCATAGGGAGAATCTTCACTGGTCATACTGTATATAGATGGCCTTTCTATAAAAAGATGTAATAAGTTTACCATCCCTGAATGACAAAATGAAATTTGTATAGATTAAATGTTCTTGTGTTGTAAGTAGTGGCCACGTTGCTTTGATGTCTTTTGCCTGCATGTGAATAGCTTAGAAAGAGAACCTATTTTTGTGTAAAATTTGGTTGCAATAAATGATGTTATTTAATGCAATTGTGGAGAGATTCGCTATTTCTTCTACACTGGTACCAGAAGCCTTGTGTAAGATCGCATTTTATTCCATATAGCACAACCCCATATTTATGAAATCTATGGTCAGCGATCTTCAATGCAGCATTTCCTTACATGCAAAATTAAGATTTTGCCCTACAATTAATTGTTTCTATTACTCCTGATTTCTGAGAAAGGGTAAAGGGTAATGCCAGTTTGGCATTCAGTGCCTCCAATACTAAGAAGCATATTCTGGAATGGGACTTCGGGAGAATGGTGGTTTGAAGTTTCTAATCACAATGGAAAGTATGGAACCGAAGCCAATAATTATTTTTCTTCTAAATATGTATTAAATGCATCATCCAAGATCATGCCAAATTTTTAAAATTATCCATATAGTCTCCTAATATGGGGGTCCCCAACTCCCGGTACACGGACCAGTGCTGCCAGGTACTGGACCATGTGAGCAAAGTGTCATCTGTGCGTGTGCAGGAAGCATGTGACACCATGCCTTCCTGGTCCGTGGGAAAATCGCTGTCCATGGAACCGATCCCTGGCGCCCAAAAGATTGGAGGCCGCTTTCTAATACAATAAAGATAATCATCTAAAGACAATCTAGCAAAAGAAAATGAAGTGAAAAAAATCAGCTCTATGCTGTAGCAAAAGAGTACAAATATGAAATGTAACATGGAGCCCAGTTGGTCACAAAGAATCAAGGGTTGTAACAGGCTGAACCATAAGCGCTTCCCAAAATAAATCCACTTTCTAGGAAGAAACTGAAGTTACTTTAAAACACAGGAGGCGGCAAAAGCACAGCAATTGTAATCATTTGATCAGTAGTGGATTTTATTAACAAAAGAGAAAGGTGCTCCAGTGATGATGTATCCTATCATTGCTCCCGTCATTGGGCAACATAATCCAAAGGTGCAAGCTTTTGAAGTTGTCCATAGTTCATATCATTTCTTTTTCAAATGTTGGAGATTAGGGGCCGACACCTTCACTTTGCCTGGAATATTCCTTGATAGGTCAGTATCCTATGCAAAAGAATCACATGTCCCTCTTGATTAGCTATGTTATTACAGTATTTTTGTAGCAGCAGGAAAGCCAGATGCTAAAACAAGCAGCAAATACCAGGTAAACTTCTTTATAGTTGACAAAAAATTTAAGGAACTTAAAATTATAGGTCCATTGACCTATGAATTTTCCTAATCTAGAAGGCTATTGTGGATTTCCTAATCCATAAGAAGAATATCTTAAATATATCCCTACTGTTGATCTCAAATGAAGAACGTCTAAGTGCTCCTAGTTGAACTTGAGATCCAGTTAACTTTCTAAGGCGGGTAGGATCTCTTCCTTATCACTAATCCCAACTGTAGTTTTCAAAAACAATCTTACATAACTTTTTTCCCCTATGAAGACACTTCTGAGATGAAATTGTATTCTCAATTAGGAGGGATGGGCTAGTCCAGGGGTCAGCAATCTGCGGCTCTGGAGCCGCATGTGGCTCATCCCTCTGCTGTGGCTCCCTGTCGCCAGTGGGCTCCACAATTTGATAGGGCTTTTGGTTAGGACAGGTAGAGGAAAAAGGGTGCCACGCTAGGAGGAGACTCTATGGTGGGAAAACCGGACTTCTGGTCAGCAGAGGAAAAAAGACACCGTGCTAGGAGGAGACTCTATGGTGGGGAAACTGGACTTCTGGTCAGCAGAGGAAAAAGGACACTGTGCTAGGAGGAGACTCTATGGTGAGGGAACCAGACTTCCAGTCGGCTCCAGAATTGAACGGGGGGTCCAGTTAGAACCCTTTTTGAGTGTTAAGGTTGCCGACCCCTGGGCTAGTCTTATCAGCCCGCCACTCACACTCAATCCCAATGTTTTCGGCAAAATATTATTCATTATCTAAAAGTCTAACTTTTGTGTCATAGGACTTTGGACTTACTACTTTGCAATCCATCCCCTAATTTTCAACTTTAAAAAAACAAGAGTCTACGTATTTCAGTTTCACAGGGAGTTTACAGCCAATTTTTCTTTCTTTTTGTTCACACAACGCTCGCTTTACAAGCAAATATTGCCCACTCTCATGCAAGACCGTAGATTAGCGCCGTGCCTGCAAAAGCAGGATTTTACCTTCACACTGCGGAAGAGATCCTTCTCCCTTGTAGTCGATTCCTTGGACTGCATGAAATTATGCAAAGCAGTCTTTGCAGCTGTTATGACAGAAAACAACACAAGGCAGATAAGCAGTTTATCTTTTTTGGGGAATTCTTGCAAACATCCCCATAGGTTTTCTATACCTTCTCAGGAGACAGCATCAGATGCATCTTGGGGGAAAGCAGTTTTTGTTTTTTAAAAAAATTATGTTAATGTTTAATTTGAGGAGAAAGACAGAACATTGTATGTATGCATGTAAATAAAACAGAATTTAAGAGGAAAGGAGATACTGTCAACAGGTCAATAGCAGAGAGAAAATGTGTGAAAGCAAATGGTTTTATGGTTTATGGTTTATGGTTTATGGTTTAATTTATTTGTATGCCGCCCTTTTCCCTAAGGGGACTCAGGGCGGCTCACAACTCAAAAGGGAGGGGAAATACAAACAGAATTACAAAAAACATAAAAAGCCATACATAATTAAAAAACACAACAATCATACCATTCGAAGTGGGGCAGCGAGTCTTAGCCCCAGGCGTGTCGGAACAGCCAAGTTTTAAGGGCTGTGCGGAAGGTCTGGAGGTGGTGAGGGTACGAATCTCCACGGGGAGTTTGTTCCAGAGGGTCGGAGCAGCCACAGAGAAGGCCCTCCTCCGGATAG